GGACAGCCACTCACTAGGGGGCGCTCGACAATGGCTGTTCCGTCAGGAACAGTTAGGGTCCTTGGGTAGTACAGCTTGGAAGGGTCGGACCGGGTAACGCCCTGTGCAATACGCTTCATGGAATGGGAGCAGCATAGCCACGTCCGTGAAATTCAGCCTAAGTCTGGTCGCCTGGTGCTCTACGGCGGGGATGTGCACTGCATGTCAAGTTCAGGAAAACACAGCTGGGGAGGTCTGCAAGCTGAACATCATTTGAAATATTGAGCGCTGAAAGTTAAAGCCTGGGCAGATTTGTGTTCGTTCTTCTGCTTCTCGTTTAATTAGCGTTTTGAGTAAAGCCCATCGTTCTGCCGGGAGTAATGGGCTCGAGAGCAGGCGACTCTCAATATGCTCGGCAAATTCGCTTCCAGAATACTTACAGACACTAGGAAACCGCGACGGCTGAGGATAGCTCGTGTTGCTGAGCACGGTGATTGGCCGTTCACGGAGATGTGTTAACATCAACAAGCGCACACAATTCCGAGTAGCGCTGTAGATTATCTCACAATTGCCATTTTCGACCACAGGGTGAAGAGAGCGATGGCATGCACAATCGTCGATAGAACACGGTTAGCAGCATCATGAGTCATGACCACGCACCACCTATGCATGTCCGCCGTGACTTCGAGCACGAAGCTTAGAATGTCCAAAACCACCCGCAGTTTTTTCCAACTTTTGGGAGATCTCGTACACCACTGTCACAGCGCGAATTTCTCAAGCAAGTGTCGTTTCCTATTGTCTGTCTGTGAACTTGGCTTGCACAATTTCGACTCTCGAGCTTGCAACGGTTCTAGAGCTATGGAGGGAACGTCATGCCGGTGGGATGTATAGTGCGCGACATTAGTGCGGCGCGACGGCGTGCGGCTAGTTCCATCTCGGCGGTCATTAAGGTCAGCGCGAAGCGGAGTACATGCGCCATGCCAATCCCAGTCCATCATCCTCACTACCAGGCCGCTACTATCTCTCTCTCTCTTCATTCTCCCTGCTCATTAGCCTTCTGTGCAGTTTAAACCTGCATGAGCACTTCACGACGCAGAAAGCGGGCGGAGGGCCCAGAATCCAGGGTACGCATACCAGGTCTACGTCGGGTCTCATGTCGGCAGCTTACCTAGCCATCCCACTGCGCCAGGGTGCCTCAGATCTCTCTGGCTGGGCCAGAATAGAGACGACCGTCAAGGAGGACAATGAAAGGAAGGTGAAAGGTTATATCGATACTCTACTCATCTTCGTACGTCTTCCATCTGCGTTTTCGTATTCTGTCGACCTGACATCTGTCAAGGCTGGTCTATTCTCGGTCATCCTCACTGCCTTCGTCGCCCAGACTTATCAGATGCTCCGGCCATCGAGCGCCGACCTGACGAACCAACTCCTTGCCACGAACAAGCAGATACTTGCTCAAAGTAAACAAATTCTCATCCAAGTCTTCTCTGCCGCCCTCACCGGATCCTCGTTTTCCCCGCCCCAGCTTGCGTCTCCTGAGGATCCGCCACCGTTCCAATCATCGGCTCCAGCGCGGTGGATCAACACTCTCCTCCTTATCAGCTTCGTTCTCAGCCTCGCCGCCGCCCTGCTCGGCATTATCGTCAAGCAGTGGATGCGCGAGTACATGCCATGGAACTCACCTTTCGCAGCCCCGCGAGAGAACATCATGGTGCGCCAGTTCCGTTTTGAGGCATGGGAGACGTGGAATGTCTTCGCAATCGCCTCGACAGTGCCAGCGTTGCTCGAGGTCGCGATGGCTCTCTTCCTTGCCGGCATGATCACCCTCCTCTGGACCATGAACGATGGCGTCACACTCTGTTCGACAGCTATGACGGCGATGTTCCTGCTCGTGATCGCTGTCTCCACTGTCCTCCCCGTATTCTCACGTCGGTGCCCATACAAGCCTCCGACGGCATGAGGGGTCTTGGCAGCTTATATATTTATGTCCCATTCGGCGTCCTCCTGTCTGAGGTGGGCCAGAACACGCACAGTTTTGCTACATCGTCGATGGTGCGAGTTTATTGGTGAGCCATACAGGATCAAGCACATTGTACACAGTCTAATGCTCTCTGTCACTCCAGAATGAATTCCATGTTGACAGACTATCGGTTTCGAGCTACATCGTTCTCATATTTGAGTGCAAGTTTCTCTGCAAGGGCGCCGATACCGAGCCCACCCTACCTTTACACGGCGAGGAAAGGTTATGCAAGTTGCGGCCGTCGTCATCGCCTGGAACGCAGCCAACGTCGTCGTCCAAGCTGGTCATTTCAGTCCACACACCCGAAGAGCTTGCCCGCACGATGTCGTACGAGGGCTCTCTGATGCCAGCCGCTTGCCCGATTACCAATCTTCGTTTTCAAGCACAAGGCCTGACGTCATGCTATGGCAAGGGTAAGGGAAGCGAGGTCCATGGATGAGCTGACGAGATTGGAGGCGATGCGGATGGAGCACTGGCAGGGATGGCGAAATTCCTGGGGTTGACGATTTGGACTTAGACCGAGCATGCATATCCCACCAGCGCATATAGTAGTAAATTATATGAGCGGAATTGTCGTTCATAGGTGCAACAATGATGGCATGAGTTTGGAGTTTAGTGCGTGAATGCCCAGGATTCCCAGATCCGTTCAGCGAGCTGTATATCATACAGTGATATTCGAAGGCAGCACGCGTGAATCATATGAAGACCCTCCAATCACGCGCAATCTCCCGACGTACTGCGAACGGTGATCGAAGCAGTGCAGCCGGCGGAGTGAAATGGCAGAACCGCGACCAAGACGATGCAGTCATTCCTTGGCTGTGCTTCACTACTCTTGAGGAGACGAACCGCAAACTACATGTTACTGAGAGCCCTGCAACGGTTCAAGTTGATGTCTTCCTCCGACATGCGCCCGACGCTTTCGGATCCTTGATCAGTGTGTTCGAGCACGTCGCAGGGGCACACCAGTTCCGCAGCCCTCTACTCGACAAGCTGCACCTGATGCGTCACTAAATCGTGTCTTTAACTTCTGAACAGACAGTCACTCGGGGGCAGCAACAGGAGTGGATTCGAAGGTCTTCTGCACACTTTCTCCCCCGTATGTGTGGCGTAAATTGTTTGCATAGTATATGATTAAATTAGCTGTTACATTTCGAGCATACAGCACTAAAAGAACAAGGAGTCAAGCTGGGTCTATCTCCCGCCTACTTCGTCCCATTGCACATCTTGACTTTCCGAGTGACTGCAGCCCCCCCGCGCGCAAAACCTGATCTCACATTTTCCAGGGGCCTCCTGTGAGGCTTAGTTGTTGAGTCTAGTTGCGACGCATCAGCTCTGGGCTGGTTGTGTCCCAGGAGATGTGATTCGGGAGTCGATGTCAATTCTCTCTGCAAATGTTGTGCCGAGGCTCATCTTTCTGAAAGTTCTGTTGGCGCACATATAGAGGAAAATCTTAGGTAGTCTTACTGCTGTTCCTCGGGAGAACGGAAGCCCGCAGTGACGGAGCTGGTCTGAGTGTTGGATTTACTTTGGCAATGCTGGTGGGGCTATCCTTGCGGCCTCTACTTCCATGATGAATCTGATTAGAAGCTTGGGATATGGCAGTATACGGTTCAGAGTCTAATTCTTGCTTTCATCGCCATTCCGAGAATTTAGACAGATATGTAGGAGTGCACCAGGATCTAGCCTGAGCTGGGGCGCGTAATGTTGGCGGGTGTCAGCTGGGGATGGTATAACAGTACTCATGGAATTTTGAAGCGCGGAGGAATCTGTTGTGCACATTTACCACAAAGAAAGATATATGAGAAGGGAGAAGGGCTCGCACCTGCCCGCCGCCGTGCCTCCAGCAGCATTGTCCAGCGGCTACTACTGTCATGTGCTCCGAAGTCGGTCAGGCTATGACATTGTGCTCCATACTCGTAAATGCATGGAGATAATGTTGTTGTATCTGAGGCGCGTACCCGATGATTTGACAATGCGCTGATGCGCTTCGTAGTCCCATGCTCTCTGACATGACGCGCTCCGCGTCATGGTTTCTTTATTTAGATGTGACATGCCCAGAGCACTCTACACTGGCGCCCGTTTGACACCCCGACTTGTTTGTACCTAGTCTCACCTTTGTAAGGACATTTCATTGGTTATGATTAGATTAGGAAATACTATAGCTATAAAAGAACACGGTGTAATATTTCGATAATTTATCGTACATTATTCGTGAATCCCCCGCCTGCGCGAAGATTCCTACAACAGGTTATGAGCCCCGCGCTATAATCTACGGTCACCGACATCACTGCAGGGTCGTCCTCAACCCTTTCCGCTGT